CCAGGAACTGGGCTGCAATTTTTGAAGAATGAGAGGCTGTCTTTGTTGTTTTGGTTTTGGTCTCTTGCACAATGAAGTGCCTGGTAATGGAAGTGTAAAATGGTCTTGTTGTTGAGTCGGTTTGCCTGAATTCTTTATTTCCTGGAGCAACGGCATCTCCCAGGCGTGGTGTTTGCCCCACCAGTTGGCACACTTAGGGGCAATTTGTTCCCCCATTTTCAACTTGGAGAGAGCAGGAGTGTGCTTGCTTCAGCAGACCAAGCAAGATTTCCACGGCACCCTATTCTCGATGGCGCCATTTCTGGCATCTGAAGCAACAGGCTCTGGGACAAGCACCTCACCTCTCAGATCCCCCAGGTTTTAGAAGGTCTACGGTGCTGGGGTGGTTTTATAAACTATACTGTGGTGGCGCCTTACGGACAGGGGTGAAATATCTCGGCCTAAGATCTTCGATTGGTTCTCCAGAAAATCTAGAGGCCCCTTTGGGTAACGAGACTCACCACCAATTCTTCGCCAACCCAGCTTTGTTGACTCAACGGTGGTGGTAAGCTTATAAAAGGTGAGTCTGCCCTCAGTAAATAATCATTCCCCTTTAGGTTGGACGAAACACGTCTATGTAGACAGTGACAAAATCGAGGTCTTGAACATGTGGTCCATGTACTCTGAAGGTTCACAGACATAGAGACCAAAACCCATGAAGACATACCAGGAGAACCAACGGAGTTAATGAGGGGCTGTCTTCTAGGTATCTGCAGGTGCTACTGAGATCTGGTGGAAGGCATGCCCAAATGACCCCAGAAGATGGTCTGCCATGGAGCTAGAAGTCCTGACATGTGATGGAAGTGCCTGCAGATCAGCATTTGAGACCAGGTAGAGCCTGCAGTCACCACACACCTCCAGTTTAAATGAAGACACAAACCATGGAAGTATATGCACCCTTTTAAAATGAATGATGCCATCTTGCAGGAGTTCGTTGAATTCCGCCTTGGCCAGCCAGGAGCTCAGGCGAAGGCGGTGAGGGCGTGAGAAGACTGGAGGTCCTTAGTTTCGATGTGGTGGATAATTCCCGATAGCAGTAGAGTGGAGAGACTTGAAGTTCCTTGAACTTCCCCGAGCAGGGGAGAACAATGGATGGTGAGGATAGTGCCGTGCAACGCAAAACTCGACTGTGTGCTGTAGGCTCATGGATGAGGCAGAGATACTTGGGTCGACGCGGCTTCTGGAGAAGTCAAAACCAAAGATGGGTTGAGAGACGTCTGCTACCACTAACCTGAGCAGAGTCTTGGGAAGACCGAGGTCTAAGGCGAGGAATGAGGATGTGCTCGCTGAGGTGATGGGGGTACCGTTGGCAACGAACACAGTTGTAAGAGGGTTGCTTTGATGTGTCTTGCAGTGAGGAGGGCTGATGCTGACCGATGAACGTGTGTCGACGAGGAATTTCCCCGCGAGGTGCGGTCGGTGATGTGCAACAGTGACGCCTGAAGTGACGGGACTGTGGCGCCTTACCAATCCCTGTTGATGCCGCTTCCCGAGTAGTTGCATGGGGGCTCACAATGTCTACATTGGCACCGAAACGTTTGTGGTACCAGCAGAGGGTAGGTCCGCTGTGCTGGTAGCTGGCGGCGTCTCGGGCAGGACGACATCGGGTTTGTAAGACGCTGCGCGGGCAGAACAGGCCCAGCAGCAGGCGGAGGAGCAGAGCTGCTCAATGGTGTCCATCCTGTGGTGTAGAGAACTGCTCCCTGATGTCGTGAGGTGTTGCTCGACTGAGGAGCGTTGAACCGGTTTTACAAGATCGTGGTAAGCAATGGTGTGGCCTGCGGGTTGTCCACGGCGGAAGGCGTTCAGCAGCGCACTCGTGGAATATTCTGTCTGCCGAGGTTGCGAGATATCGGTGTCGTCGAGTAATCTACTGCGGACAGGGTGATCGAACTTATTTGGGGAGCTTCTGTGCATGAAGCTGGCGCAGGACAGTGTCAGGAAGCCTGTCCGCATGCCGGGAGTTCAGTCATATCTCGTCCCAGAGACGTGCAGGCGTTGAGTTGCCGAGGGAGACAGGATAGATTTTGCAGGAGACTGGTGTGGGACCGCTGGTAACGCGTCTTTAGAGCAGCCCACAGGGCAGCGAACTTGTTGTCAGCTGGAGGGTTGGTAATGGTCTCTGAGACTTGCGTGGCGACTTCCGTGGGCAAGGAACAGAGCAGGGCGACGTCCCTTTGCTCGTCATTAGTTGTTGAGCCGGTGAGGGCTGCCTCCATATAGATAACCAGTCCTCGATGTTGTGGTTGAAGGTTAGTAGAGAGATCCGTTTGTCGTCCATTCTTTTGAGAGTGCGTCACACCTGTTAGGTAAGGATGAGGATGGGTGTTACTCTGACCCCCTTTAGTGTTCACAATCTCCTGGGAGGAGGTGAACAGTTACAGGGGGACTTCAGGGCGAATACACTTTTGAGGGTGCAGGTCCCTAGGCCAGAGCAAAAAAACAAAAGAAAAATAGTAGGAGTAAGGCAAAAGAGCTCAAGCCACATCTGGAATATCGCTATCGCTGTTCTCCGGCTGTGATGTGGGTCACTCACCGCCAGTGGGGAGAACAAACTAATGCGTTATAAGCCTAACAAACCCTAACGGTCGTGAGATGGTGTCCGGCTGTAGTACCTGAGTGGCAGGGGTCCAGGCAGGTCAGTTGGCCCAATGGCAGCAGACAGGCGGTCCTCACAGCTCAGGAGTAAGGCAGCAGAGACGTGGTGTTTACAGCTCAGGGTCTGGTGCTAACCTTATGTGGCCAGTTGTCAAATTCTCTTTGCTTGTCTATTATCTCTTTGTATGGGCTCACACACGTACGTACATGTAAGATATCTCACACTCAGGATGGAGTAGAATGAAACTCACAATGCGTTTTCTGTATATATATATATATATATATATATATATATATATATATATATATATATATATATATATATATATATATATATATATATATATAATATGGTAGTACAGTGCAGTGCTAGGGAGTTGCTGTGTGGTGAGAAGCTTGCTCAGAGGTCCTGTTGGGTGAGGAACTTTCTGAGGGAGCTGGTTGGTGAGCGCTGTTGAGAGGTCTTGCTGGTTCAGGAGAGAAGAATAGATTGACCTCCGCAGCCAGGCCTACCCGTATTTATATGGCTGCTCAGGATCAGAGACACGAGGTGTGAAATGTGCGGGGCCAGTCACCGTGCAGTACGCGAGAGAGGACGGGAGCGCTGATCCTGGCTGAGACGTTCAAGCTCAAGCCTCAGTCGCGATAGTACTCCTCCGTCCGCACCTGAGACTTAGTCTGTCGACGTCGCTGGCTGTAAGCTGATTGGCTGGTAAGCGAGCAGCAGGTGATCAGTCAGCAGTTGTAGGGGAGAGTATCCACTACAATACTAAATAGGGGCGCTTGTGGTAGAAGGGGTACCGCTCTTGCCTCGCAAGCAAGATGTCACGGGTTCGATTCCCCGGGCAGGCGGAAGCAGTGCCGGATTTAGACCTGTGGAGGCCCGTGGGCAGCCTCTTTGTGGAGGCCCCCCTCATTATAACTACCCAAGAGGGTGGGGTGGTGAGTGAAGCGAGCCTAAACACTTCTTTGGAAAATTTTGAAGCCATATGCAGTTATTTGAGGAAATTAGAACACAGCGCCCTGATGGCATTCGTAATGGAAGTGATAATGAAAATTTTTTTTTTTTTTTTTAATCTCAATTTCGTTATTCCATGTAGTTCATTTTTAATCAATATATGTTTGTGGAATTCTAAATATATTATTAGCAACACAAACAATAGCATTCATTAAAAAATATACTGTTCATAGGAAAACCAGGTATTCATGAATTTCAAGGAGTAGCTAGCCTAATTTCTATCACGCTTCTTGCTGAACATAGTTTTACGTGATGGAATAGATAAACATGAATTTTAAAGAATGAAAATAAAAATAATCCAAATGAATAAACAAATAAATAAAATATTGTAATATGTGGAGGCCCCCAGATTGTGGAGATCCCTGGGCAGTTGCCCACTTTGCCCACTCCTGAATCCTGCCCTGTGTGGAAGTTGTTTGGACACTCTTCCTAGCCCCCTTGGTCCCTGTTCACCTAGCAGTAAGTAGGTACCTGTTGTAAATCGAAAGGTTGCGAATTCGTATTCAGGGAAAGTTGTTGGAGCTTCTAAACTTGGAACTAACACAATCCGAGGAGTGGTGACCCGTGGATCACACACCAAACACAGACAAAAACCCAATACGTGCGCTATGCGCTAACCAAATAAACGCAGTCGTGTAAAGCCACGGCACTATCTCTCCCACTACAATTCTCTTCCTAACATCCTGCTCCTTCTTATGTCATCTTCCCCTCTCTGCCTTTCGCTACCAACAACTTTTGGAGCTTCTAAACTTGGAAAAATACTAACACCTTTTCTCGTTATAGTAGTGTACTGCTGTACTGTACTAGGAACACATAAAACATATTTTTAATCTGGAATAATATCATTCACAAGGATACACTATTAATATATTGCTGTATTTTACATTTAGATGTGGCTGTGTCGTTAACTAGAATATATCTTATCAATTATCCATCCTTTACTAATAACTGTTTCAACACGTGGCTCGGCAGACAGATGTTTACATCCTCCCTCCGGACTCTCAAATAATCGTATATTAGGTTTTGTTACAAAGTTTAGATATAAGAATGACTTATCTAACTGGTCTAAATTAGAGATATGGGTCTAAAATGTCGACCAATATGGCGTCAAAATTACCCTGAGACTATTAGTCGTGGGAGCGGCCAACAGGTGGCAGCATCAGGCATATCAACAAACCACCAACGTGTATTTTATGTCAATGCAAGAAGAAAATATTACCTTATATTCTTTTTAATGTATTACGAATTTACTTTTTATTAACATAAATAAGTTAGATAATATTTATTGAGTAATAAAATATGAAATATTTTTCCAGTGAGTTGTTGTTATATATATATTGTTTACATGAGGGTTGCATTAATCCGACACAGGTTATGGTAAACGGAGCCAAGTAAGAGCACGAAGACTAATAACTGCAGAACTACCTCTTATTATAGTGCTGTATGTGGTTGTTTGGGTGAGTCTCTCTGGTCTGGCTTACTCAGTATCTTAATCTATTTCACCGACCTACAGTATGGCCGAGTGTGCGACTGAAGATAATTAACCCAATATGATGTTACAATACGGGAAGTTTCTACGAGACATTGTGTAACTTTATCATAGGAAATTATAATGTTTTATGGTATTGTTGAAGTGGAAAGGATATTATTAGTAACCGGTAAGGAGGATTAACAGAAGAATTCATGCAGATTATTAGCGAATTTACGTGACTTTACTATAGTGATTACCATTTGAGTGTTTACCCTAGGTCACTGTTGAACCATTCTGAACTTGTATGACAGTTTTTCTAATATGTTACTACAATATTTGATTACACTTATACACATTAATCTCCTATTTTTTTTTTGGAAATATTACACGGAGACAACTTGTTCCTTATATCTAGAAAATTACAAATATGGACGAGAAATTATAATGTTCATATTTTGTTTTGTTTTTTTCATTTCATTTATAACACTGAAGGAGAAGGCCCGGGTTATCCAACTACCTAGCAAAAAATCTCTATACAAACTTATTATTTACCTCAGGAATACAGCAAGTCAGGTGGAGGAATTGTACTTTTTGTATTTTCTTTCTTAGTCTCTTCCATAAATAAAGACACTCTGTGCCTCTACATCCAATGACTTCATGTTTGCACTTGAATTGTTGACTGACTGAACTCTAAGCAATGGAACACTTTCCAAAAACCTTTCCATATGAACTGAAATGCTAACACCATGTATAACCTTCCTAACATAATCTGGAAGTGTTCACGTGTATGAAAAGGACACTGGGAAATGTTTGTGTGCATTACTAAACTAGAATTAGAAAAATTGCAAATCCTTGTCCTTTTTGGGGATATTCATAATGTAAAAAAGAATTTATGATCGTTTTTTCAATATTTGTCTGAACTTGTTCATTAATGAGTACAGTGGCATGTGCTATAACGAATCTAATTGGTTCTAGAACCTTGTTCGTTATAGCATTCGTTCGTTATAGGATTAATCCGTTCCAGGCCCCCAAATACAACCACTTAACACTGAAAAATATAATATAAAATTGTAAATATTGTAAAAAAGTGCATAAATATGCATCTAAACCCCTGAAATAAAGAACATCATTAATACTTGTACAGTAATAAAAAACAGTAAATAAGTAAAAAAAAAAAAAAATTTAAATAATATTCGTTGTAGGAGTTTCGTTCATTATGGCATTCTCAATTTTATAGGTAAAACCGTTCGTTATAGGAATATTCGTAGTAGGATCCGTTCGTTATAGCATACCCCACTGTACAAAATTTAAGTAATAATATCTATGAAATGCTTACTACTCACATAAAAACAGTTCAAGTGAAATTACGACATCATTGTCGGGTGGCTTTGAGCGTCATCATTCACAAGAAAATTTTGGGAAAAAAATTTGACAAGTTGGGTGATTTTTCATAAGGTAATTTGTGAGATAACTCTCCTTTCGTGTGCCATTTTCTCATGCGTATACATATTGGTCGTCTAACCACAACATCATATTGCAGTTTGTTCTGTTGTTGATATGTAAATAATTACTAGAGACCATTCTATACACGTGAGGGCTTCCAGCAATTGCTACTTCGCTATAATATTTACTTGATAAAATCAACCATCATAACTTAGCCTAACCTAAATCATATATATCATCATGAGGTAGGTTTCAGAATAATGAAGGACGTAGCTCGGTGACACCTAGAATTACTTGTGATATACAGTATTTATTTATTCATCTTTTAAAGTTACAGAATATTTTGCAGAAGTACTTATTACCGTATTATGGAAAAGATATTTTGTTATTAATTGAAGATATTATCTATTTTCAGGCGATTTATGAGACAAAACCCAGCAAAAATGGGAGACCAAGAATATCATATATTACTATGTCATGGGCCCAACAAATATGAAATTGTTGTGTGGGGCACCATGACCCTGGAGGAGCTGACACACAAGGTTAGTGATGCGCTTCTTGTTTGGTTTTTGATAAGGCTTGAAATTTTAAAAACATATTTAGAGTATTTAGAACACCAATTATGCTGTGCCTGTAAGTTTTAAATCATGTTTTTGTATGATTTACTATGACCGACTTGATCATTCAAACATGTTAATTTTCACCTTCCAAATAACTAAAAAATGCCTGACCTTATTATCTTGTGTTTGAGCACGTGGCCAAAATTTAGATTTTGTTTAAGTTTTATACAAAGGTACTCCTCAACTTACCGATTCAGGATCTAGGTTAAAAATTTTTAATTCAAGTGTTAATTAAGACAGATTTATATATACGGTACCTGTACTGTAATACAGTGAACCCTCGAAGATTCTGACCTGGTAAATCCGGATTTTGGAAGATTTGGACAAAATTTTGGGGTGCCGGAGGATAAGAAACCTCCCTAAGAAGCATACCTATAACAGAGCAAAGATGATATTAGGCCTGTGTACCTAAGATGTTAACACGTGGGACACAGGTGCCCGAGGCAGGAAACATAAACAGAGCTGTCAATTGTTGTTTGTGGGAATATTATTTCATTCACTCCAGTAATGATACAGTATAATGTTTCTTATTATGATATCGTAGGTAAATGCATGATTTCTATAATTTTTTTTATCACTGTGCCTGTCATCATTTTCAAATTAGACTACAAGATACCGGTATATAATTCTCCCATACATATTTCAATTGTACGCTTGGCAACAGGAGCGAGTGAGTGACCACTAGAATTTTAAATACACTCAGTCTCACACACATGTACTCACACACATGTATAGATACAGGTTTTATATCTAAGATGGAATTATGTAAAGCATTTTAGAATCACAGCCTCTTTGAAATTTATTTTAGGTACAGGTGTATACAAAGAGCAACTGAAGGAAAGGTGGGGGAGAAGAGAGGGGATTCGATGGGCGAGGGGGGATAAGAGAGTAGGCTAGGTGAGGTGGGTGGTCACGGTGCTCCTAGACACAAGAAAATCAAAAGGAAAGTGCACTGTCATGGCCACTGCCACCTGACCTGACGTCATCTCACCTTTCCAGATCTCTAGGTATGTGTCCATGTGGTGTCTACCCACACTGTACCCTTCACAGCTCTTCCTACACAACTCTTTTTCTTTGGTTAATAATTAATTAATTAAAAATATATTATTAGTTTGCATGTAACGATTAACGATTTTTGGTTTTTTTATTGTATTGGAGTAAAAGTATTAGAAAACCATAATTAAGTAAAAATAATAATTTTTGAAAAGGAAATACTCTATACCCCAAAATTTTACTTGAGTACAGTACTGAAGTAAATTTATTTAGTTATTTTACAGCTCTGCTTATTTGTTGGTATTATTTTTATTTATTCCTAACATTTCCTAGTACTGTACAGGATATATTATTTTAAGAAAACTATGGCTACAGGAGAAAAATACACACAAAAGTTTTTTTTTCCTAAACACCCTGTACCTCCCTGTTAAAATGGGGGATGCATCTTATATGCCATAAAATACGGTATTGCATTTTGGGTGTTTTTTATATAATTAATTTTTTTTTAATTTTATAAATTTAGTTCATTTGCCGGAAGATATGGACAATCGGCTTTTCCGGACAGGTGGTCTCCCCTTTCAGTCCGGATCTTTGAGGGTTCACTGTATGTCTTTGTGGTAGATGAGAGAGAACCTTGATAGGCAACTGGAACTTGTTGTTCTCTAGAAATTTTGATATAAAGTAGAGACTGTGCTGTAAAGTGTATGTACGAGGTCTGACAATTAAGTTTGCAAACTTAATTGTCAGACCTCGTACAGTGCAGTATACAGTCTCTCCTCGACTTAGGATGGGGTTCCGTCCCGGCGACCAGGTCGTAAGTTGAAAAGTCAAAAATAATACATAAAAATTCTAAAATGGGTGTCTTTTTTTTCTTCTCAGCACCACGAGAACTCTCACTTTTTGTGCTTGCCAGCCATTTTAAAGGGAATTACAAACGAAAATTTTGTCGGTACACAGCGAGATCGCTAACGTCGGGACTCAAAAATACGTAATGTGAAAAATATTTTATACGACCACGGCCGTCTTATGTCCAGGTTGTCGTAAGTCGAATATGTCTAAGTCGAGGAGAGACTGTACAGCATAGATTATACCTTATATATGTTACCAAGTGCATTTGATTACAGATGAACTATCCATTGTTGTTATTAACATTACTATACTGTATACCTGTATGTTAATATACTCGCCATAAATAAAATGGTATATTTTATATTTCAGATAGAAACAGTAACGCATATTCTGCAATCAAACCAGAAAATTTTATTCAAAGGGAAGAACTTAACAGACTGTAATATGACTTTAGCCTCTTATGGTGTAGGGCCAGGAATGAAGGTGATGGTCTTGGGCAAGAAGTTTGATCCTGAGGATGATCTCAATTACCAGGCAGTTGTGCAGGTAAGATTATATCAGTTAGAAAGCCCAAAGGGGATTTGTTGAGGATACTAATTAAGGAGTCTGGTGCAACTTGTGAAAGTCATTTAAACATCATGGAATTATAGATGTTCATGAAAAGTTTGCTAATGTTTCTGATAATTTATATTTTCATGTAATGTAACTACTCTTGCCATATCAATATTGTTATTATTATCGACTCTGTATCTGTATTTTTCTGGCTAAATAAACTATTTCAATATCAGTATCAACCAGAAGCAGAGATAAAATAATCCTCATTTCAGTTCACTACTAACTTCAGTATTTGTGATATATTTTCAGATTGACCAGTCATGTACCAGAGTAGAAAGAACATTATGTGACATCATTCCTCAAGTGGATGGGATCTCTGGTGGATACCTGGAATCAAGCTTGTGTGGAGAGACCTTAGGCAGATTGAGGAATCGACTTTTAACAGTCAATGAAGAATTCATGCGTTTGTTGGAGCAACTTGATGGTATATCTTTTGAGGTACAATTTTTTTAGTTTGACTTGCTGGGTTGTGTGATGGTGGTGTGTAATACAGTAAGTCCTCGCTTAACGTCGGGGTTACGTTCCTAAAAACGTAACGTTATACGAAACAACGTTAAACGGATAAATTTTCCCCATAAGAAATAGATAAAATACGGGAGTTACGTTCCTGAGCCTTCCTTTGCCCCATGGAATACATTACATATACAGAAAATCTTTGCCATTTATATAGAAAAAAGTGCATACATATACAGTACTACTACTAAGTTTGTATTGGTACTCACCGATGGGCAGAGGTGGTAGAGCGAGTGTGTGGTGTGTAGTGAAGCAGAGGGGGCGGATGGCGGGAGGGAAGTGTATGGCGGGAGAGGAGGAGGGTGGTGAGTCACTGAGACTGTGCCAAGCCGAGAGAGCGTAGTGCGGCCAGACGAGAGCGGGTGATGCGCAGTGGAAAGTACTCCATGACGACGCAAAACAACGTAGTATCCGATCACCGGGATGTTAAACAAATTTTTTATCTCTAAAGTTTAGCGACGTAGTACCGAAACAATGTTAAGCGGGACGACGTTAAGTGCGGACTTACTGTACTGGATTATGTGATGAGGTATAGTGCTGGGTTGTTTGATGGTGGTGTGTAGTGTTGGTTTGTGTGATGGTGGTGTGTAGTGTTGGGTTATGTGATGATGTATAGTGCTGGGTTGTGTGATGGTGGTGTGTTGTGCTGGGTTATGTGAAGTTACAGACTTAAACTTGGTGGTTATCTTAGGGTCTTGTTGTGGATGGAACCAACGAAGGAGAATCAATGTTTGTCTTAATTCTGATCACTCAATGCCATATAGGTAGTAGATCAGGGCTTACAAGAGAGTAAAAAACTTACTTTATGTAAACAAAAATATGAGAGATCAGCAGTCAACAACTATTACAACAAACATCCTTCATTTAGAATCTCGTCACATGTGAAATTTAAAAAAAAAAATAAATAAATAAATAGGACTTTATGTATGCAATATATCTCTGTTTGGGGGCTTTTGTAAGGTATCTTTGTACGGAGTCCCAGATACTTTGTTGAAATGCAGGTTCTTTTTATTTATTTATTTTTTTTTTTTTAGAATCATTATTTATTGTTATTACAGGACAACCAAAACCAAACTCCAGCAAGACAAAAGCGCAAGTCAGTTGTCAAGAGAATCCAACAACTTATGGAAAAATCTGACCAAGTGCATGAAAACATCAACCAGCTTAGACTTAAGTATAACTAGTTAATATGTAGTTTATTTGCTGTGATTTATATACATGCATACAGTATATATATATATATATATATATATATATATATATATAATATATATATATATATATATATATATATATATATATATATATATATATATATATATATATATATATATATATATATATATATATATATATATATATATATATATATATATATATATATATATATATATATATATATATATATATATATATATATATATATATATATATATATATATATATATATATATATATATATATATATATATATACAGGTATATAAAAGCAGGTTGCAAGTTTGTTGCTTACTTGCATTGCAGATTTAGCTAAAAATGGTTTCCATAATCAGTTGTATAGTGGAACAACAACTTAGATGTCACAGAGACTTTTTAGCATTTTGCCGCCTCAGGAGAAAGAGAAAATTATTTGCTAGCAGAAGCAGCTCATATATTTACAACTGTTCATGTTCTATTTTTTTTACACATGTCCATGTACAGTATATAAAAATATGTAATTTAATGTACAAGACCAAAAAAAAAAAAGAATTTCTCTTGAACTTTCCAATCAAAGATGATATTTGGGCCTTTGGGTGGGTCAGGAAGGTTTTGTTCAGCGCAGCAGTTGTTGCCTGTGATGTTATGGAGTATTTGTTGAAAATTATGACAAAATATATAAATTTACGTTATAGTTTCAGTAAGTACTGTACCTGCAGATTATAATAATCATAGTAGAAGTTCTTATATTGTCTGTGTTGTAGAAGTAGATAATCAGTATGTCCCTTAAAACCCAGTACAGAATATCTTATGTATCCTGAATAATAGTACAGAATTTTATGTATGCTTAAAAACAGGTACAGAATTTTATGTTTTCTTTACAATCCAGTACAGAGTATCGTATTTTTCTTCTTGTACATGATAAACTGTGCCACATTATATAATACGTACTGTATTCCTTGTTACACTGAGAGCTATAAGTCACAATGGATGGGATCTTTATTTGTCCCTGAAAGATTTTTATAAGAAATAGATTAGGAACTGTTCCTTCCCCCTTCCCCACCCCACAGCAATTAATAATGTGTAATTAAGAATTGTGATATTTTGATTAATTTCAATGTTGCTACTATGAAGGATAATATATTAACTTATGTGTCAGTAACTTAAAGAATACTTCATGGTAAGTTTTGGTGTCCTGCCATAAATATATGCAGGGTGTCTTAGAGAACTTTATATACACACTACCTAACAGATATTTGTGGAGATCATGTGAATGCTTCTAAAACAGCAGCAAAATTTTTCTCACTTGCTGATGTGTGAGGTCTCCCACAAGTGAAGAGGACAATGTTGCTCTTGTAATATAAGCATTCATGTAATCTCCATGAAAATCTGTAATGCAGTATGTACAGATTTTTTTTAAGACATCCTTTATATGAAACCATGTATTGTATACATATATCAAGGAACCCTCCACCAACATGTGTGTCAAGGGTTCCTCAACATACATGTATTAAGGAACCCTTAGCATACACAACTGTAGGAGAGGAAGGTCTTCATGTGGGTGGCACCAACTGTTTATGAGTGGGAAAGTCAATGTAAGATGTACCACACCTACACCAACCCATGAGGTTGTGAGCCCCTCTGTCAGAATATTTGTTACCCCCAGAGAAATAATTCTCTCTCTCTCTCTCTCTCTCTCTCTCTCTTTCTTTCTTTCTCTCTCTCTTTCTCTTTCTCTTTTTTTTTTTTTTTTTTTTTATATAGAGTTTCAGCTAAATTATCTGTTATATTAGGATAGAAAATAAGGGAAGGTTGATTAAGAAGAGATTGTAAAGTAGATAAGCAGAAGTACTGTACATAATGTATTGTCAAGTTAAAATGGTATAAATAGTATGCGGTAATGAAGGAATAAGTAAAGATCACAAAGTTTGTAGTACAGCCACAGAAGGTGGGAATATTGCAGTGCTGGGTCATTTACCTTCACAGAGTCAGGACTCATATGTAATCTCACATTAAGTATGCAGGTATGTTTGGTTAGAGATAAAAATATCGAAGGTACCAAAAAAAAAAAAGTATACAACAACAATTTTTCAGAGTAATTGTGTATAGGACAAGGGAGTTAAGTCTTGGCCATAAGTTAGGTAAGAGCACAGACTGGTGAGATCATACTTGTCAGAAGTTCTCCCAGGAGGTTAGTCAGTTAGGGTACTCCTAAGAAATGGCTGGTGCTGCTGAAAAAAGTGCTCTAAGATGTTACATGGCTTGGAGGAATGAAGTTCTGTTAGATTTTTTAATACACAGGGTCTTTTTCTCCTTTTTTGAGAGAGAGAATTCTAAATGATTACAGTACAGGGTACTGTATTTTAGGGTGTGCATTAACAGGAACCTAAGAATCATTAGGAATAAAGTCTGATCATTGTAAAAAAAACACATTTGTTCTTCACAGTGATCAGACTATTTCTACTGATTTTTTAGGTTCCTGTTTATTGCACGTCCTAAAATATAGTAATCATTTAAGGTTCTCGAATATACGGTACAGGGAGTTCTGCTATAACGCGTGTTTTGATAACGCGAATTTGCTCTAACGCGATTTATGAATTCGGAACAATATTTGTATAACGCTAACGCTTGTTTGCTATAACACGATTTTTGCTTACTATTTCTCCAATTTTGTGGTATTAACTGTGAATATGGTAAAGAAGAATATCTCCAAAAAGCGCTCTGATGATAGAATTCCCGGTGATTATCGTAAAAGAAAGGATATAACACTTGAAGAGAAGCTCAATGTTATCAACCTCAAAATCACCCTTCTCCCCCATCAAGTTACATTCATATTTTTTCAAGGTAAAGTGTTAAATTTACTGTATGATTTCATTATTAGATATGAATGTAACATTTATTTAGACTGTGCTATCCTTTGTGTTAGGCTAAATACTAAATTTTTTCGATTTCGAGTAATCTGCACCTAACCCTATTTTCTCCATAAGCCCTGTTATTTCTATTACGCGATTTTCTATAACACGATATTTTACAAGAACACAATTATCGCGTTATAGCAGAACTACCTGTATATATATGTCATTATAATGTGGGGAAATGGTAATTATGTGGAATTGAGGTGAGAAATAAAACTGATCCATACTAGGCAGCCCCGTTTCACCCAACCCACATCGCTCATTGCTACTAGTTCACCCCTGGCTAGTTAAAGTAGTTTTGTTGTAACTCCTTTGTTTAACCCTGACCTCGATCATATCTCCTCTTCAGCGATGTTTTCTTAAGCTATTAGTTTTAGTTTGGTGAGATTTAGTTATTTTATACTGTTATGTTAGATGAAGTAGAATTTGGTTTGAACATTAGGGTAGTTAGTACTCCATTCTGTATTGCTGGATGGATAGAATAAATATATATTTGGCATTTAGAAGTATGAATGATTTGTTTATTATAAGTAACTTGGGAAGAACCTACTTGGCCATATAAAGGCTATGATAAATTAATTGTATAAAGTAGAAAGTAACTCAGGTAATATGTCTTTACATCCACCATGAATTACCTTTTTGTCCATCAGTAATACAGTATAGGTTTGGGAGAACTACCTCTCACCTATCTCTCCTACAGAATTGTGTTCATATTTAATTTTTTCTTCGTCAATTTAGTAATAAGTTTGTACATTTATATCAGATAGTAGGTGTCCTTCATTTACAGCGATGGTTGTGCTCATTGAAAAGGCCA